GGGATTTGGTATGCTATCGAATTTCCCGGGAGGAGCGCCATGGTGTTCCATCCTGGTCTACGGTCGCAAAGATCATAGGCTTCGACGGTAAGACTGTTTGGGTCGTACACCAAGGAGTGCCTGTGGCGACCAGCCTGGGAAGACTCAGGCCGTGCACGTCGGCTGAGGTCTTGGCTTACCAGGTTTTAAACCGTGGTAACATACGCTTCGAGCATGCAGATGCCGAGCGTGAGCAGAGGAGGTACGTTGATGCCACAGAAGACATCCCGACGGGTGATCTTGAGCAGGCAGACCGTGGGTAGGCACACGTGAAGAGTCACGGGCCGTGACCCTGGAGACTGTTGAGGAGCCTGAGGTCGAGGAGACCGAAGCTCCCGACGCAGAGCTGGCCCCTACGGTGGACCAGGAAGCGCAGGAATCGATAGCTGAGGCACTTCTCTTCACGCGAGCATACGTGCTTACGCGAGCCACTTTGGGAGTTACAAGGAAGCAGCTATATGGGATAGCTTACCAGGAGAGAAGGAGTACGAGGAGCTACGTGTTTTCTTTGCAGATAGATGGGATCAGCCCACTATCAACACGTGGAAGAAGAGGTGCAAGAACTACACTGGCAAGAAGCAGAAGGAGAAGAACGGAAAGCATCTGGTTTACGCCAAGTGTTCTGCTGAGGGTTTAAGCAGAGCTTGACAAGACGAGGGAGAAAGAGTGGAACAAGTGGAAGGAGTTTAGCGCCGCAGTCGTAATCGACAAGAAGCAGTTGGAAGAGCTTATACGTGAAGGACATCGGATTATTCCAACGCAATGGGTCGAGACGCTAGACGTCACTAACGCCTATTTTCAAGGCGAAGCGATAGACAGGGTACTCCTGCTATCACAGCCTAAGGGCGGGTTACCAGGGCTAAAGCCTGGTGATCACATGTTAGCGAAAGCCCCGATTTACGGGTCCACTGACAGCGGGCGAAGGTTCTGGAAACGTTTGAGAACGTTCCTGAAGAACAAGGGTCTTCGGGAGAGCAGGGTCATGCGCGCTTTGTACAGCTACACGGACGAGAAGGGAGTTGTACAGATGCTCCTTACGTCCCATGTGGACGACCTGTTATGGGCATGTGACCTGTCTTGCGACTGGATCATCAAGGAAATAATCGACGAGTTCAAGTGTGGAACCGTCGAGAGCGACAGCTGTCGGTATTGTGGGAAAGAGGTGAAGCAAGATGAAGACTACAATATCCACATTACCTGCGGTGACACGACAAGGACGATAAAGAAGATCCCAATAGCACCGTGCCGTCGCCCAGGAGATCCCTAAACGGACTCCGACGCAGATGAAGTCTGTGGCGGGCTGCCGACCAGACCAGTATAGGGTTTCGCGGATCCAGTCAGCTTCAAACAGTGGCACTGTGGCTGACATCAAGGAAGCGAACAAGACCGTGGAGTATGCGGTCAAGACCTATGAGAGGTGTATTACTTTCAGACCCGGGTTACTGGACTGGAGTAAGCCCGGCGGTCTGATGAGTTTAGTGGTCACAGACGCCTCGCACGCCAACGAGGAGGAAGAGGTCTTGGACGGTCATGGTGAATGGCTCAGTGTCTGTGGAGCACCACAGGAGCCAAGGTGCGAGGATGATCTTCGTTGCCACACCATCCCTTTGGGACCAAGACAGGGGAAGAGTGCATCCAACGGCTTGGGCTTCGAACATAGTTCGGAGAGTGTGCAAAAGCACCATCCAGGCGGAAGCTTACACCTTGCAGGCGGGTGTGGAGGACGGAGACGTGATTCGCGCAGCAGTAGCTGACCTGTTTGGGGTACTGGACCTCAAGAGATGGGAAGCTTCAGCCGTGAAGTTCATGAAGCAGATCTGGTTTACAGACTGCAAATCTCTGGAGGAGACGCTGATGAATCCGAAGTGTTCGAAACACTCGGACAAACGTCTCTCTATAGAGATAGCGTCCTTGAGACAAGACCTCTGGAGGAAGAAAGGAGAAAAGGCTGGCGATCCGTCCGAAGAAGACTACCGTCCGAGCGACGAGTTCCTCACAGACACGGTACGTTGGACAGATACGGACGTAATGGTGGCCGATCCACTCACTAAGATGATGGAGCCAACCAAACTGGTTCACGTCATGGAGACGAATGAGCTGGACGTTAAGCAGCCAATAGATACCATCGTGAAGAAACGAGCTAACCAACTCCAGAGAAGCAAAGGGAATCCAGCTGAAGCGGATCCTACAGAGGACGGCTAAGCACCGATCCTGTACGTCTCACTCTTTTGTCACACTCTAACACCAGAAGAGTCACGGGTGTGATAAAGTGGTAGTTTAGGTGCGTGTATAGAGTGTGTGCACCTTGAGAGCAGCCTTGTTGAGACGTGTCCCTCTACCGCAGAGGGTCCTTTTGAGTCAAGCCGGCGAAGGCAAAATGAGACCAGTCTCGCACGACTCATCATGCAGGACAGTCTCGACACATGTTCCCAGACATGTAGTCAGATCAGTCCCATGGAGAAGGAATTGGTTCGCAGGAGGTTCCTATGTGAGCGAGATGCGACTGAAATCTTTCGAAGTATTCGTGGTAAGAAAATCCGCATTGCGTTGCTGTGTACTTGTTACTGCTTGCCGCTTTCTTGGTGAGCGCTCATTTGTGCATGATCTTTTCCGAAACAAGAAAGGAAGTCGTATTGCGTTGTTGAGTACTTGTTGCTGCTTACGATATTGTGTTGCTGTCTGCTTGTGCGTGAGTGCTGACTTGGCCTTGCGCTGTCAGATATTCGTTTGTTCGATATCTGTCCGACTCAGATCTTGTGGTACAAACCTGACGTTAACAGAATGTTCCTCCAATACGTACACTAGCTGGTTGGTATCAGCCAACCAACCTTGGTGAGAGAGTGTATGACGACACCAAAACCCGAGTGCCAGCTTCCAAATAGATCCGGTTTAAGCCCCCCCCCCCCCCCCCCCCCCCCGCCCATCCCCTCAACAAACAGGCGCACGGCGCACGTCACCCGTGCAACGGTGTGCCGGGGAGGGATAACCCACAACACATGGAAACACGACATAGGCACCCACATGGGTGCGGTGGGGTAGGATAGCCCACAACACAGGGAACCACAGGGCCCCTTGCCCTTCCCTTCGACTCACAGATGTGCATGATGGCGATGATGTTGGCGCAATGACGTTGATTTGCTATTCCCAATGTGGCTGTTGGTGGTACCTCTGCTCTTATGTTGCTCGGGTCTTCGGCACCGCATGTTCATTGCTTTATTTAGTTGAAAATCGTGCTTGGCTTGTGATGTTGTGCGAACTGTATCGACCGTTGTCATTCCAAGCCAAGTTTCGGTTGGGTTCGTTAAAAGTAAGCTTGAACACGTGTTTGAATGATTTTCATTCGGGACTCTTGAGCAAGGGGCCGCCGGAGGAGAGTGCGGATGGGGATCATGACCGCCATCCCCGTCAGCATCATCACTCTGTTCTTCATCATTATCACTGGCGCCTTGGAGCTCAAAGGAGGTCGGAGTTCAGTGGAACTGTATCACATCCTAAAGTCCAAAGCCTTAGCAACCGGACGCCTAACCAGCAACAGCCATGGAAACCAAGCGCAACCACGGGGGGGGGCGGGAGGGCAACCCGCACCACAAGGAACCACAGAGGGGGAGGGGGGATACTTGGGGGAGGGGGGTATAGGCCTAGCAGGGCTGCACCATTTTCCCGCAAAAAGCTTGGGATGTTCGGAGAACCCGTTTGGGGATACCGAAAAGGCAAGCATAAAGGGATCGTCGTTGGCACCGTGCAGCGTTTCTCACAAAAAGCCCGAACAACGACATCTATGTTTTGTGCAATGCGACTAGTGTTTGGTTGAGCGTAACATATATGTTCACCATTGCATTGGCTCAGTCGTAGTTGCGTGATCGCCAACTGTGGAAACTGGAAACCTTCACAAAAGTTACTGCAGTTCTCGGTTGGGCGCCGAGCAAGGTACGTTGCACGGATTTTGTGACCACATCACTTGTAATTTCATCTTGTTTCCATTTTCACAACAGCCGTTGTTCATGATTGTGAGAAAGGCTGAGCATGAACAAACAGAAATGATTTGTGATCTCCTTGTTGAACCACAACTTTCGAATCATGTTCCTTTGCAACTCTTCTGTTCAAGCACGAAATGTGCAAAATTTTGACCTGCCCGACGGCCTTAGGGGATGTTCGTGTGCAGACAGCTTCATGTGAGGAAAAGTTGCGACCCCAGGGTCGAGTTGTGGAATCTCGACATGGAAGCCGAACTTGAATCCGAACTGTGTGTCATAATCTTAAAACCGAACTGTGTGTTGTAATTTGAAAACCGGTTGCTAACGTGTACGTCACGCAAGAGATGATGCCGTATTGGAGCAACAGCAGGGGTCCCATACGTTCCGGCAGTTCTGGTGGTGTCCGGTTGCCCGAGAGGAGTTCGTTGGACGAAGCATGGGGAATGTGCAGGTGCAGATAATCCTGTGTCAGAGTTGCCTTGAATCTGTCGTGACGGCGTGTTTGTTCTTTTTTTGTTGGTAGGGTTCTTTCCACGTGCTGGTTTGCTGCTAGTGCTCAGAAACATGGTGCGGCCAGATCATGACGACCCCTAGGAAGAGACGCGAACCTTGTCACACGCAAAAACATTTCATTGATTTCACCAACTCAACATGGTTCTACAAACAAGAGTGGAAGGTTGCTGTGGGGGTCCCGTTAAGCGTGGGGGCTTCCTGTGCTTGGCCATGTGCTGACAATCCACTGCAGGCAAGGCGAGCCCAGCCAACATGGCCACATTTCTTGAGTGTTTGTGGTCCTGCCAGGCGATGTCCGAAACGACGGGTGTTTGACTCAGAGGAGTTTCCGGAAGCCTTCCAGAGACAATCCCTGCTGTCCTTGTCCCAAGTGTTGTGAAGATGACTTCAAGGCTGTTGGGGGGGGGGGGGGGGGGGGGGGTGCAGCACGTGTTTATGTGCGAGTCTCGTCGTTCTTGGACTCTTCCCGATTCGATGGCGCAGGGCGCAAGGTGTGAACGGCCACAGTTACTCGGTCTCACAGGGATCGGGCGTGTCGATCGGGGGCCGCCATGTGCGGTACAGACAAATCTGCCAGGGCTCCGTCAATTTATGGGCTTGTGAGCATTCTCACCACGGGTGATACAGCATGCTAAGCGTCTTTTGATTTTCCTGAATTTTGATTCGTCCGTACTATATACAGCTGTCGTCAGAAATGCTCCCAGTCTCGAGGTGTGGAGCTCAGCTTTCAGCGCGCTTCCGTCCACTTGGTCCACGACGTGAAGCGCCTGGAGGACCGAGCCTCGAAATCCCTCTTCGTCTCTGTTTTCTGCGCTTTCGCAGGACGGCGAGGACTTGAACGATGCGCTGCTGGACTTCTTCGTGAAGCTGGGCCAGGCAAGTGAATGCTTGGCTTCTGCTGTTTTAGGTTTTAGAGCTCCTTGCAGAACGCTCAATGAGCTCTCGCCAAGGCGCTGATCCCCAATGGAAGGCAAGAGACGGGCTTCAACGCAGGTGCGCCCTGGGGCATTGTGATTGTAAAGGCCACTGCGTTTTTGCTTTTTCGGAGGGGGGGGGGTTTTGTCGGAAGGCCTTTCTCCCGTGGCGTACCTCGGCTCCTACTTCTATGGGATGCTGCAGAAGGGCCATGTCGGGAGCTCGGTCTGGAGAGAAAGGGCCAAGCCTTGGCCTTGGCCTGGGGCCTCGGGGGGAGACCAAGGCCTCAGATGGCCGAGCAGGCGAGGGGCGCGGCGGGGAGGGAAAGGAACTGAGAGCCGAACTGGGCCGTGCTTTGTCCGGGAGGTCATGCGAACGTGGCCAACTGGGCCAAGCGGCGCCTGGGCAAAGGCGGCCTCTTCGCAGACCAGGCCCGGGCCCTGCAGGGCAGCAAAGGTCGTTTCGAGGCGGAAGCGGAAGAGTCAGGTCGGAGCCTTCGCAGTGCCCGTGAACGAGCTGCTCCGGGCCGCTCTTGGCAATTTCGAGACTCGAAAAGCTGGGAGCTGTGCTCTGCTCTGCGATGCAAGGACTATATGGGGCGACAGCAGGAGAAGCACTGGTGGCTCGCGGTGCTCGTGAACCCACGAGGAGGACCGCGGAGCAGAGCGGCAGAGCGGCTTTTCGCGCAGAGCGCAGAGACTTCCCTGAGGCTGCCCCAATCAGGGCCCGGTTCAGGAGGCCAACGAGCGAGTCTTCGGTGCCCCTGGAACCTCTCCGCCCCAACGCAAACGCAGGGTGTGAGTGTGGCCTGCCTGGACTCCTTCGCACGCCGGGGGCCTGGCCTGGGCAATGTCTGGTAAAGGCTGTTAAGGTGGTTTCGTTTCCGTAGTGACATTCGCCACGCGTTCGCCGCCTTTTGTAAGGCACAGGAATGCGGTACAAACCACCCAGGTCAGCTGCAGAGCGCTGTTGCATGGGGCTGGGAAGGGAATAAGAAGTTTAGTGACCCGCTGGCTCCGGCAGGCGTGCTTTGAAGGATGGTACGATTGAGGTGGGACAGGACGTGACCGCAGAGCAACGCAGTCTTTTAAAGTATGCACCAGAGAGGCTTACTCGGTAGAGATCAGCAGCTTCTCGCGCTCGGGCTTCGTGGCAGCTTCCCCGGATTATCGCCCGATCCCAGATCGCCCCACTGCCCATAAGACACTAGATGTAGAGCCTCTTCTCTGCCAATCAAGGCGCTGGTCGGCTTTCGGGCTCAGGAGCTCCGCAGGGTCTGTCGAGATTCTGAGTACTGGGAGTACTGGTATCGGCGCACTGTTTGGGCCGCTGGCGTCTGGCGGCGCCCGCCTCCTTGGGTTTCGGCCCTCAGCCGAGGGCCGAGACATTTCTGTCAGGGCGACGGCTCTCTGGGCCCGCTGGTGGACCCGCGGCTCTCCAGGCTACAGGCCTTCGATCCTTCGATCCCAACGCCCTTCCTGATTCCTCCCTGACTTTCTGCGCCCGTTCCTGCGCGATGGCATCCTGTCGGATCCTGACGTCTCAGTTTGGGCACCGCATCATCAAGGACCCTGAGTTGGACCTCAAGGACTTGGCGGCTGGAGCTGTTCGTCAGAAGCGCTCAGATTTGTTGTCTCGAATCCGGAAAGGTCCGGAACTACGGCGACTTCGGGGTGCCAGGGGTTCTCGAGGGCACCCTCGAGTTTGCCTTCGACTCCTCGACCAGGACAAGAGACGGCCGCCCAAACCAAAGTTCCAGCCAGAAAAGATTCGAAAGTGACGAGGATCTGCGGCGACTACATGCTGCACTACGGCGGCGTTGCTGAGTGCGATGCTGAGCTGCTGTCGCAGTGGGCTTCGCATTCTCCGCTCTTCGGAGCTTCAGGTACAAGCCCGCACTGAAGCTGGAGCTCCGCAGAGAGCCCAACCAGTCACAGCAGCAGGTCTCCCGGCTGTTGGCCGGGTACTGCGCAAAGGACCGGACAAAGTAAAGCCGGGCCTTCTTGAGGTGTACGATGAGAACTTGGACGCAGCCGTAATGAGGAACTCTTCTCGGTTGCCGCTTTCGCCGCCTTGGCAGGAGTGGGAGCTGGCCAACCCGGAGACGCCTTACAAAGACAGCCTGATTGCTGGGGCGCTGCAGCTGGCAGACACACCTCAACAGGTGGGAGGGAGACCTGTAGTTTCTTTTGGCATCGGCTGCGTTCCGGCTTCAATCAGGAGAGTGCCCACGACTGTGGCTTCTTTATCCTGGAGCAGGCCCGAACCGAAGAAGTATATTTCTCGGCCGGAAGTGGGGTCAACGCTGGGCTATGCAGGTACTCCGGCTGCTGCAGCTCAGCCCCACAGCTCTGAGGTCTTTGGCGCAGAGGTCCACCGAGGCCACGGCCCGGCCCCTTCGCCCCTTCTATTCGGTTGGATTGTAATCGCTTTTGCATCGCGGCTGGTGGCAGGACGTTGCTGGCTTGCCTTGGCCAGCACAGAGGGAGGTAGCCACTGGGACTCAATTGCGCGTGGGAATTGCGCAGTCAGACACGTCAAGTCCCGAAGTCCCGAAGCGAGGTCAAGCGGAAGAAGAAGCTGCGGGAGGTGACCGCGGACCTGTTTGTGGCAGCGCGCCGCCAGGCGTGCTCCAGTGCACCGCCGAGTGCCTAGCGACAAGAGTGACGTTGTACAGTTTGCCCAAGTGCAGGGCACCGGGGACGTGGAGGTGCTTCTGAAGCAGGATGAGGCCCTCAAGCAAAGTTTCATGCGATCTCATGCTACGGGTCTGTATTGCCAGAGGTCCTGCGCAAGAAGCTGCTGCTCGCTATGTGGGAAGGTATCACGAGGGGATCTTGTAAATTCTCGTCAGCAGATCTGTGACATATCTTTCTTTGCGATGTGCGCGGAGGCCCGTACTTTGCCAAAGCAGTAGCGAACCTCATCGGCATGGATCCGGGACCTCTTCCGGACTCTCTTGCTGCATGTAGCCTTTTTTCTTGTCTTTTGGGGCTGCTGCATGCGACGTGTGCTTTCTCCGGCACCACTCAGGAAATCCCGACTCTACCCAAGGAAGAAGAGGCAAAAAAGCACGAAGCGGAGGAGGAATCCGAGTCGGACAGCAGCGAGAGGACAGAGCCCAAAACGCGTCGAACGGCCGGTGGTGAAGTTTTGGAGCTGCTGTCAGGAGCAGCAGCAGCCATCGAAGCAGCAGTCGTGGCCTCGGTTGGAACACGGCAGAGCGTTGGCGACAGTATCGTCTTGAGGCAGTGCTTCCTCGAGCCGCAGCCGGAAGCGGAAGCACGAGGAGAGCCGCAGCCGCAGCAGGAAGCGGGCCCGCAAGGAGCGGAAGGAGGAACGCCACGGGCACCGGGCCGAGCGCCCGGCCCGGCCGCCCCCGCCGCCCAGCTTCACCAAGGAGGACCTCCAAGGCCCGGAGCGGAGCGAGGAGAGGGCGGGTGAGAGAGTGAGAGAGTGAGAGCGAGCGGCCGAGGCTATCCCTCCAAGACGTTGCGGAACCTCTGCGTGCAGTACAAGGCGGAAGCCTTGAGTCCCCACTCCCCTCCTGTTGGAGACCCGTCTTCGTCTTCGTCTGCAGGTGCTCCCTCCGGGCATGGTGGAGCGCACGGACTTGTTGAAGGCCTTGGAGCGCCTGGCCATCGTGAAGAACGCCGTTCCGGCCGGGACGGCAGCGGCGGCCAAGGCGGTGGGCGAGCGCCTCGCAGGTGCCGCCCGGCCAGACCTTCCAAGCTTCACGACGGACGACTTGGACACCATGCCGATCAGCAAGCTGAAGATGTTTTGCATCCAGTTTGGCCGGCTCCCTTCGGGCTCCCTGGAAAAGTCCGACTTGAAGAAGGCTCTGGCTCCTTTGGCCAAGCCTTCCACAAAGCCGAAGCAGGCCTTCAGCGGCAATGGGACAGCCTCCGGCCATTCACATAGCCACCACCACCACAAGAAGAGGGCCTTGCCCAGCTTCACTGCCACTGAGCTGGACACGATGCCCATCAGTCGGCTGAAGAGCTACTGCATCCAGTACGGCAAGATGCCCCACGGCCCTGTGGAGCGCACGGACCTGGTGGCCCTCTTGAAGCCCTTCGCGGTCGCAGCGGGCGTCTCGGGAGCCTCCTCGGCACCGGGGTCACTGGGTCCAGGCGCGGCGACCACGACTGCCGCAACGAGCTTCGGCTCCCAAGCAACTTCCGCCAAGCCGGCAGAGGCAGACGGGGGCTCCACGGCGTACTGCCCAAATTAAACCCTCTCACGTTGTCGTTAGTTGTTTACTCCGGTGTCCTTCCGGAAGTACCCAAAGCCCAAAGCCCGATCTTTAACTCAACCATCGTTTTTCGTGCTTGCCTTTTCGTGGGAGGCCGACAGCTTCGTCCTGGAGGACCTGAAGACCATGAGCCCGGGTCTTGGTGACGAGCAGCAGCGAGGATGCGCTGATTTGCGATTTTTTGCTCAGGCATGAAGGCGCTGAAGACGTTCTGTCTCAAGCACAAGGTCATGCCCCATGGACCCGTGGAGAAATGTGACCTGCAGAAAGCACTGGAGCCGTTCGCCAGAAAATGCGGCTACGTGCCTCCTGCCCTGAGATTACGAGAGGTCTTGATGCTACTGTAAAATTATGGTCCCTTTTCGGGTACCCCGAATATCAGGTGCCGCACTTTTTTTGAGGACCCAAATTAAAAGGGACCATAATTTTGACAACCACCCATATAGCCTGTGCTGCTGCGACGGTCTAGCAATCAGATGCAACATCCTGATCTGTCCGCTGCTGCCCGGTACTTCTCAAGGCGTCGGGATGTTAAGCGCCAGACCCGTCGATTGAAATGCAAGGAACCTGCTATCTCACCATGTTGGCCAGCACAAGAAAGTCACGGGAACGCTTCAAGTTGCAGGGCTGCGGCGAAGTTGCACGAGCTCACGTGTCTTTGGGAGCCGGATCGCTATGAGCCAGCATTACGATGGCCACAAGACGATCTGCACACCCGAAGACAAGGCTCCAAGTCGCAGTCCTGCATCCGACCCGCAGAATCCCGCAGACAAACCGTGGCTTTCCTGCCAGGGAGTCGCTGGGCGCTTGGGTGGGCACACGTGGAACATCATCACAAACAGCATCTTGTCATCTGTGGCTTCTCAGTTGGGAGCCTATGGGAGCATGGGAGCATACTAGTAGCAGGTGACAAGCACGAGCTCTACCTCACGCAGGCACGCAGCATCTTATCTGCACTGGCTCCAGGCTTTGAAGCTGCGAGCCTGGCGAGCCTTGCCATGACTTCTGAGGCCGTGATCACTACATCAACGACAAAGGCGAGATCACCTCTGTGTGGTTCGATAGACGCAGGCCTGCCGGCCTGCCGGCCTGGCCACGGACACAAAACCGCCTTTCGCTTCGTGCCGCTCAGGCGGGTTCCGCACTCGGTCCGCGGCCTCGAAGGGGCGAACTGGAGCCCGAAGCCCAGCTGGGAGAGAGAGCAGAGGCGACCTGTCTAGAGAGAGCGCCAAGACGCCTCTGCTTTCGTCCGAACGGAAGGCGCCAACGTCAAGGAGAGCCTGCGCTGCCCAGGCTCCGCGGCGGACTCTTGGCCGGCCTGCGAGCGTAGTCGTGAGCCTGTGGCTCTCGCTTCGAGGCACACCTCCAAAGCCAGGGGGGCCAGGGCCCGGGCCTCCTTCGAATCCGCGGAATCAGCTCTTGCAGGCGCACACACTCACACACACACATACACTTTCCACCCGCGCTTTCACCGCTTGCACGCCTTGTTCTTGTTCTGCTCCTTGGAGGCCTCGGCTCCGCGGGACTTCGCGTTGTACTCCGCGCGGCGGCGCGAGGCAGGGATGGGGAGGGGCTGCGCCCGGGTGTCTTTGGCTTTGGCAGGTGCTGCCGCCCACGCCGGAGCATTCGGGACACTTGGACAGGACGCTCGGCGCGGACCAGGCCGGGCGGTATACCGTGGCTGTCCCGCCGCCCTTAGTGTGTGGTGCGCGACTCCGCTTTTTGCCGCTGCAGGCGCGGCTGCGCGACTCTTGGACGCCGCGTGGAGCGCCCAAGGCGGGAGGGCACGGGCGAGCCGAAAGCTTGCGGCAGTTCTGCGTCGCTCCGAGTGCTGCGAGTGCTGCACTGCTCCTCTCTCTACAAAGGTTGGAGAGATTGTCGGTTGGGGCACTGGGGCTTTGGGCCGCAAGATCTGTAGCGGCCGCTGTCGCATCCCCGTCCGTGCAAGGGAGATCCCCAATCCCACACCCCGCTCAAAGGACAAAGGGGAGAGTTCAATTCAACTCCATGTTGCAGGCCCTTCACCATCTGTCTGCAGTGGTATTTGGATCTGGATCAACGGCAACGGTGTCCACGCATGTTGGTAGGACGAAAGGATTGTTTCGCCCTGTAGCAGCAGGATTCAAAACGCAAAATACTGCAGAAGTATCTTTCCAATCCTGGTGTGAGAGTTCCAGCTGGCAGAATGGGCTGCTGCTAAGGCTCCAGGCATTCCCCAGCTCCATTGGTGATATTGATACCAGATAACAATGGCCACACTGAGCAGTGCACGGGTTTGTCTCTGCTTGCTATCTGTGCCAACCTTGAAGATTGACGCATTCACGTATCATCTGCAGCTCAACAGCACTGACGCCAGCTGGAATTCCCGGCCATGCGAGTCCAAGATGGAGCCAGCACGAAGCCAGCATCATGCTGCAGACTGCTTTGAGAGGAGGGCAACATCGAATCAAGCCCTCGCCGTGTTGGCTTTACACTTTACACACCTCTTTACACCTCTCACAGCCGCGCCGCAGGTCGTGGATCGCAAGGAGTGGACGCCGCGGCGTGGAGAAGCGCGAATGGAGCTTAAGCCCCCGAAGGAGGAGGACTCCCGCAGGCCTCATCGTGACTGGGCACGTCGGCATGCTGTGCCACTGTGAGGAGATGTTCAGCTCCGTGGGACAACTGCGTGCCGAGTCGCACATTGACGTGCAGCAGGGCAGCTTCGCGCAGCAGCTTGGGAGTTCCCGCGACAGTTGCGATATTTCAGGAGCTTGGAAAGTAATAGATGCACTGACGTACTGTACCTCAAGTCCTCCCTCCGGCCAGATCGAGCGAGATTTCCAGGAAGTGGACTGCCTTCTGCCCTCTTCTCCCACCGCAGCTCTGTCGGCACTCCGAGGCAGAGCATTGAGCATTTCGCTTGGACTGAACACAGGTTGAGCGGGAAGGTCTCGGGGGTCAGCTCTGTTTGCGGCGGCCGGTGCACTTGTCTTTTGAAGTTTTGGGGGGGCTTTGGCAACCGATCCGCCGATCCGCGGCCCACGGGCACGGGCTGCACGGTGGGAGAGCGAGAGACGGCGCTGCTTGGGCCCAAGCCCGGCGGCTCGGCCCCTGTCGGCCCTGTCTGTCGGCGCAGGCTCCCGGAGCAGCGGGTGAACCACTCGCAGAGCACCTCGGACCCGGCTCGACCCGGCTGCCCCTTTTTTAAGCCGTTGTTTGCAGAGCAGAGAGTGCTCTGCTCTGCTTCCGCGCGTGTGTCACTCACAGCGTCGCAGTGCGGCGCCTGGCCTTCCGAGGTCGGATCGAATCTTTCGCTCAGCGAGAGATCAGCAACTGGGCGCTCGGAGACGACAAGCGGCTCGGCTCGGTCTGGGAAACGCAGAAACTCTGTTTTGTCCGTGGCCCCGGCCCCCGGAGGCTCTTGAGAAAGGATCCTTTTTGCATGCGGCCCATGCAGCAGCCGAACAACTCCGGTGTCAAGTACGACATCATCACCAACGAGCGTAGCAAGTTCTGGTACTAGCGCGCCTCTGTACATAGCCCGCAGTCCATGAGACAAGATGTCGGCGTGGCACATCTGACATCTGCGATTCCGAAGGAATCGTCCAAAAGCGCTCTCACAGCCGTTGGTTTTGCAGGGGCTTCAGGTTTTGAAGTTCCAGTTTAGAGTACATTCAGTAAGGTTTCGCACGACTGGGCTACTCGTACAACAGGCAGATGCCTGACCGTACTGGAATAATTTCCTAGACTGGAACTGGGACTTAACCCCAAGCTTTCAACAAAGCCTTCAACGGGTTTAACTGTGCATGGTCTACGCAAGACCGCCACCCTCTGGTTCTGAGTGCTGTGGGATACTATCCACTTTGTATCTCACTTTCTGTGGTGTTGGTGCCAACCACGACCGGCCCTCCTCGTAGCTTCCTGCTTTCTGTAGCGGTGTTACACTTATCTAATCGCCGCAATGTATTTATATATGGTTCTCGCATGGAATCTGCAAAGATGCAGGTACATGACAGTGTCTGCACTAGGACCCCAGCGAAAGGGGCACACACACACACACACTTTTGTCGACATGTCGTGGTTTTTGGGCTCGCAGCGGTGGGCAACTCAACGAAGGGCCCGAACGCCGCAACAGACCCTTGGCTGAAAAGTGCTGCCTCCAAGTAAGAGTGCTGTGATGCGTGGACCGCGAGGAACCGAACCGCGACTCCGTTTCTCCTTGTCCGCGTCCGGGGCCCTAGGGCCCGGCGCCGAGACGCGCCCGGCTGCCTCCGCCTTCTCCCGCTTGGGCTCCGCCGCCTCTCACACAGAGCCGCAAGAGCCGTGTAGCCGACCCCCGCACCCTCCAACCCCAAACGCCTCCAAAGCGGCTCTCACACTTTTATAGCAGACCCACATACTCCATCTCGATACATGGTCCTCTGCTAGTAATGCGCGTGCGATATGGCAAGCTCCTGGCCATTACAATCGCTTCTTGGCCGCAGCACCAGGTGAAGTGGATGCTCGGAATTAGATAAAACCTTGATACCCCTGCCCTGCGAGCCTGCGACAGGTTGCAGCCGTTTCGGCCTCCAGTGAGGCGCAGCGGCCTCGCGGATGTCCTGCTGTGCCAGTGTTTGCACCTGAGGAGGAGCACGGCGGGATCGACGACTTCCTGGCCGGAACCCTGGCCACCCGGCTGTGGCTCTCGCGCTTCGAGTCGCTTCGAGGCAGAGGACGTCGCGCGGTCCTGGCCTTTGTGATTTTTGGAGGGGACGGAAAAATCTGCCGTCTGAGATGCACCTTGCGAGGCTGCAGGTGTCACTTCTCCAGTCCTCGCTGACAGTGGTCCATGTCTTGGATCTGTTTTTGTAGGACTGTTGTGTCGGCTTCGCCGATTCGCCTCAGGCGCGGACGGAGCGAACGCAGGAACAGGAGCAAGCACTCTTCGCCACCCCTGCTGCAATCTCAGCGATTGCAGACATGGCTAACCACTCAGTCATCCCCGAAGTGCTGAAGGTTTCGGGGATACAGCCGAGCTGGCTTTGGGAGGTGGAGGGACTTTCGAACTATGGCAGTGTCGCCCTCAGCCTGGGCTCGCTTCTAAGCAGAGTTGCAGAGACCATGCAGCCCGCAGGAGCCGCGAAGGCCACGATGAGCAGGCCGGCGGTGCGGGCGGTGCGGGCGATGCGGGCGATGCGGGAGAGGGCCGAGTGCGCGCGTCCGGGCCAGAGGCATCTGAGCCTCGTCCTGCAGCTGACGCTGCCCACAGACAGGACGGCCGTCAGCACGCTCCTTAAAGTGCCGGATCCAGATTTCGGTGCCCGTGGATCAGTGTCCTGCATGGGTTTTCCGGTTCTGCACATTGAAGCCGGCTTGGTTCTGGCTTCAGCAATTCAATCTCGTCTTCGAGTGTTACGATGCGCGCTTTCCATGAAAAGGCTCCTCCAGCCTGGAATTCGCATGCGCTCTCGTCATCTCGTGCCCACAGAGGACTCCTGCACATAGCTCCTTCATTCAGCTGCAAAAGGTTCCGCATCATCGGCCCTCCCGGGTCTTCACGCAAGGCTTCTTCGCCAGCATCCAGAAACCAACCGGATGCGTGCTTGGCAGGGCATCCACCGCAAAGCATCCATGCCGTTCCAGTCAGTCCACGACGCAAGATAACGAAAATCAGAACCGTAGATGCATGCCAGGGAGCAGCGAAAAGAGCAGATGCAAGTCGTTGCTTCGGCATAGACTACCCTCGTCATGGTTTTGGGTGGGAACAGATCTGGCTGCTGCGTACTGCGATGTCATGGATTCGCGATCCAGCATGTGTGGTGCAGGCACAAGGGGGGACAGGCATTGTGCCAAGCATTCATGCCGTGTTGGCTAGCTCACAATCCGACCGGAGACGAATACAACGGCAGAGTGAAGGAACGGCTCGTGCCGTCAAAGGTCTAGAACGGCACCGGTGACCCGGTGACTAGTGGGAACGAGGAGGAAAAGTGGCTGGCTCCTCGGACCCCAGTTTGTCGGGTCTTGGGGCAGCGCCGTCTGACGGAGCATGGGACTGGCAGGGTCCAATGGGGGCAGCGGTACCGGCAGGGGTGAGTTGGAATCAACACTTCAAAAATGTGGGGATGGTTTAGGCTCGAAGGCATCGTGATGTCTGCTGTGGATATCGGGGCGGGAAAGAGTGGCAGCGGAGCACTGGTATTTCTTCACGGATTCACTGCTTGGGAGGGGAAAACTGTGTGCTTTTTTCCGGGGGGGGGGCGGAGAGCGGAGCACTGGTATTTCTTCACGGATTCACTGCTTGGGAGGGGAAAACTGTGTGCTTTTTTCCGGTGGGGGGGGGGAGCGGAGCACTGGTATTTCTTCACGGATTCACTGCTTGGGAGGGGAAAACTGTGTCCTTTTGTCCGGCGGGGGGGGGGAGCGGAGCACTGGTATTTCTTCACGGATTCACTGTTTGGGAGGGGAAAACTGTGTCCTTTTTTCCGGAAGGGGAGCGAAGCACTGGTATTTCTTCACGGATTCACTGCTTGGGAGGGGAAAACTGTGTGCTTTTTTCCGGGGGGGAGCGGAGCACTGGTATTTCTTCACGGATTCACTGTTTGGGAGGGGAAAACTGTGTGCTTTTTTCCGGGGGGGGGGAGCGGAGCACTGGTATTTCTTCACGGATTCACCGCTTGGGAGGGGAAAACTGTGTCTTTTTATCCGGGGGGGAGCGGAGCACTGGTATTTCTTCACGGATTCACTGTTTGGGAGGGGAAAACTGTGTGCTTTTTTCCGGGGGGGGAGCGGAGCACTGGTAGTTCTTCACGGATTCACTGTTTGGGAGGGGAAAACTGTGTGCTTTTTTGCGGGGGAGTGGAGCACTGGTATTTCTTCACGGATTCACTGCTTGGGAGGGAAAAACAGTGTCCTTTTTTCCGGGGGGGAGCGGAGCGCTAGTATTTTCTTACGGATTCACTGTTTGGGAGGGGAAAACTGTGTCCTTTTATCCGGGCAGGAGCGGAGCACTGGTATTTCTTCACGGATTCACTGTTTGGGAGGGGAAAACTGTGTGCTTTTTTCCGGGGGGGAGCGGAGCATTGGTATTTCTTCACGGATTCACCGTTTGGGAGGGGAAAACTGTGTCCTTTTTTCAGGGGGGGAGCGGAGCACTGGTATTTCTTCACGGATTCACTGCTTGGGAGGGGAAAACTGTGTCCTTTTTTCCGGGGGGGAGCGGAGCACTGGTATTTCTTCACGGATTCACTGCTTGGGAGGGGAAAACTGTGTCCTTTTTTTCCGGGGGGAGCGGAGCACTGGTATTTCTTCACGGATTCACTGTTTGGGCGGGGAACACTGTGTCCTTTTCTCCGGGGGGGGGGAGCAAAGCATTGGTATTTCTTCACGAATTCAGTGTTTGGGAGAAGAACACAGTGTTCTTTTTCCGGGTGGGAGCGGAGCACTGGTATTTCTTCACGGATTCACTGCTTGGGAGGGAAAAATTTGTAGGGGAAAGCTGTGTCCATTTTGCCGAGACGGGGGTGAAATGGGGGGGGGGGCAGCGGAGCGCTAGTATTTTCTTACGGACTCAATGTTTGGGAGGGGAAAACTGTGTCTTTTTTTCCGGGGGGAGCGGAGCACTGGTATTTCTTCATGGATTCAGTGTTTGGGAGGGGAAAACTTTGCCTTTTTTTCCGGGGGAGGGGGCAGCGGAGTGCTAGAATGTCTGCACCCCCACGCCCGAGGCGGCCTACCAGCACTGGTGGTTTTCATGGTCGCCGCATTGGTGATGGTGCTGCTGCTCGGAAGAAAATGCAGCGAGGTCTCTAGAGGAGGAGGTGCACGTCAGAAGCAGCAACCTCGTAAGTGTGGGGTAGTCGTGGCAAGAAGGTGCCGGAAGGGTCGTGCGAGCTTTTTCATGTTAAAGATTTCGAAATGGTGTGTTTTTCACCAGGTTTGTTTCGCAGATGATCGGCCTCTCGCTTGCAGTCGGAGATCCTTGGAGCTTTTTGCTTTCCCGGCGTCCTATCGGATTCAGAACTGGAGTCGAGTCCAAGGAGTCTTCTTCGAAGAGAGGAGCAAGGACAGTCGGACATCGAACTCCGTCTGTGACCCTCAGCCGAGAAAGCCCCCGCCCGAGCCGAGGAGGACTTGCGCTACTTCGGCCCAACCGCCGAAGGTCCGAAGCCACGCTGGCCCGCGGACTTCGCAGGTCCTTGAGAGGGCACGAGAGAAGCGAAGCAAAGCGAAGCAAAGCTCACAGCAAAGCGCTTCGCAGCTGCGCAGGCGATGCTCAGGACCGGACTTCGGACTTCCGTCCGAGCACTTCCAATTGGTGGGGTGGGCACCTGCTGATGCAGGAGCGGTCGACGATTGGGGGGTGGAGTTTGCCACCGATGACACTGCCGAACACGCCCGTGGCCAACCTGGAGGAACAGCCAATTTCGCAACGCGTAGCAGCTAAGCAAGCGACGTAAGCAGCACACGCACCTGCAGGGGGCGTCCAGCGCCGTGTCCACCTTGCCGTTGCTGGACCGCTGGCCGGGACCCTATCGGGACCCTATCCAATAAATGCGCTAAGTGACGCCGGGGCCGCGTTAGCCCTATGTTCAGGTCTGAACCGGTACGATCCGGGAGCCTCACCGGGACGCTGCCCGAGGCGCGTGCCAAGGGCACCGGGACATGACGGGACACGTATGATGACTGCAAAGGCCTCGGATCGGGCCGCCTTGATCCCACGGCTCATTCAGCCGTCCGCCGAGGCGGCACTGGGAGGGCCGCATAATCGTGCCAAGACGTCTTTTATGGAACTTTGCCCACTGGCCTGGCAAGGCCCAATTCCACGTGCCCGCAGAGGGCCTTAGCTCGCTGTGGCGAGGACGCGGCACAGGGTAGCTGCCACAGGGACACTGGAGGACTGTGTGCTTCCGCAAGGCGAGAGTCCGGTGGGGATCTTCGGCCCGGGCGGGCACACGCTGCTCTTCGCGCGCTTCAGCCAGGCCGGCGGCCGGGTGGCCGGGCGGGAAGGGCCGGGCGGGCGAAAGCGCCCCTGCTGACAGCTCCGGTGCTCCTGCCAGGACAGCAAGGAGCGGCAGTGGCTGGAGCTGTGATCTCCCCAAAGGGATGGATGGGATGCGTAGATTCTAGTAGACCTCTGCTCTGCTGCGGCCTGTCGCTTCAGGTCGACTACTGCGAACACGCAGTTTCCACACTGCCGCGCCGCGGACTGAAGCGGTCACAGTCGCTGCATTCTTGCAATCTGCGGCGGTCACTGCTGTGGGCAGTGGCTGACAGGTGGGACCCCTTCGTCAAGATGCGGCCGGAGTAGACGTCCGAGGGCCGGCTGGTGCCGCTCGGTCGCCCTGAGTTGCTTTCGTTGAAGAGTGGCTGATACTTGTAGAGGCGCGGTGTTAGGAGCTTGGAAGGGCTTTGAGACATGGAGAAATTCAAAGAGGTAACCAGCTCGAGTTCGCACATTTCTGCAACGCACTTCCCCTTTTCTCTGCTGCAGCAGAGCTCCATGACTCTATCAGCCGTTTTGGTATCAGTAGGAGCGCTACGCGCTCCTGCAGCGCTTCGGGTCACAGTGGCAGCTCCGGCGCGCCGAAGGCAGGGACCGCCAGGGGGGAGCATGGCCTACACAGAGCGACTGACGAGCATACGCCGTGTGCACACCTCGAGGCCAGGTGCTGCTGAGCATTGGCGCCAATGTGGGAGGCGGGACCGGAATCTGCAGAGAGCGCTTTGCTTCGTTTTCACGCTCTCGGCAGGTCCTGGCCTCACAGCAGCGACTGACGGCCAGCTGACGGCCACGGCGGGGGACTGGGGCAGCGCCAAGCTCTCCTCGTGCAACCGATTTACAGTCTTGCGTGAGAGGCGTGGCCGGAGCACGCTGCAGGCGGACTGGTCGTGAAGGCAGGGGCCCGAGAAGCTCGTGCTCTCGCCGCTTGCAAGAGGGCGCTGCAACGGAGGTGAGCCCCGGGAGGGATCCCTTGCTGGCGCTGCTCTGCCTGCTGGCCCGATGCCCCGAAGAGAAGAGGGGCCAAAGAGGAGGAGAGTCTGCAGCTGGCGGCTTGCCGAGGCGGTTCTGCTGCTGTCGCCAGAACTGTCGGGCCTGGGTCACTGAGAAAAGGCTCCACTTTTCTTTAGCCACAGTCGGAGAGCTGTGACGGAAACAACAAAGTTTCATCCTTGGAGCAGCCACCATTGCTCAGACAGCATTAGGTTCGGCGGGGGAGTGATGAACACGAATGATCACTTTCACCCCTGCACACATGACATACCTTACGTACCTATGTATCTAAACCTACACAAGGTCGAGAAAGGCATAAGTTGGTCCGTGCCTGTCGCAAGCAGAATATGCTATTCAAGTATTGCACTTGCATGCACTTGCACAGCTTTCAGAATTTCAGATGCGAGAAGGGTTGCATGGAACAGCGATAGGCCAGTCTAGTTGCCATCAATTGCCGTAGAATCGCCGATGTTGCCATCATCCTTCACACGGCTGCGTGAGGACGCCTCCAAACTGAGCCAAACCCTAATCCGCGGGCTCAATCCGAACTCCTGCACACACCGAGATGCAAGAACTCGCAGGAGAAGCCCAGTGCGACGAGTGGTCAAGGACGAGTGATCTCTGAGTATCTCACCCTGTCATCTTTGAGACAAGAACTCCGCTGGCCTTTACCTCGATCCAGGACCGCAAATGGCTGCGAGCGTCTCAGTCGTCTCCCAGGGAACCAGGACCGAGTGACCCAGGGGCCTGGCTCAAGTTTCAGGTGCGCGGGGCCCCGGAGAGATTTGCTCTTGCGGTCCTGGGCTGCACCGGTGTGGGCAAGTCCGCCCTGGCCGGCAGATTCGTGAGGCGCCCTGGGATGCACCCGCCGTGAGAGGGTGACCGGCACCGAAAGACACCCTCAGGGATGAAGTGCTCCTCGAGCACGATCCCACCATCGAGGTGCCGTGTGCTTGTACAAGATATGCCAAGATGTGGCGCAGGATGCCAACGTGAGCAGTTTGCGAGATATTCAGTAGAGTTCGAATCAGTAGAAGCAGCAGCAACAGAAGGTTATGTGCACCAACGTGATACAACTAAAACAGTCCCATCTCACAGGATGTGGGCGGCTGGCCACATTTTCCAGTGTTCCTCGTGTCACGGAATCATGGAGCACAGATGGCAAATGAAGACGGACGAGAAGCCATGATCCGTCCGAGCGCTTCTCTCTTGGACTCCAGATGTGGAGGAAGTCGCAATGTCTTCGAGTTGTATCCAGAGGCATGCAGACGCCTACACTATGGGCGAGACTTGCCATGCTTTGAGTGGACCCACAGAGATGTTCGTCAGTGCTTTCGCAGTTCTTGACTGGTTTGCATCCAGACCCCCCATCCGCAAGTCTTGGTGGCAGTCTTGGTGACAAACTATTTCATTCAAAAAGCCCTGCAGCCTCCACCCCGTCAGACTGCGTGCGCCTTCAACTTTCTAACCCCGTCGCAGTGCAATGCATGCGTGTCGTGGCGGCCGACCCGGCCACACAGGAAACCTCCTAATGCCTAGAGCCGGATGGGGAGGCGGGCCCAGCCACGGATACTAGAAACATGCTGCGGTGGTGATGGCGCCAGCCAGTACCATCCGCTGAAGGCGACGACAAGCAGCTTATGTCGATGCTACCGGCCCTGGCACAGGACCTTCACAGGAAGGAGCTCGTCCTGAAGGGTCTGCCGGTGTGCCAGCATCCGAGAGATGGCACCGTGGACTTGACCGGAAAGATTTCTGCCACGCATATCCCTCGAGGTCTTGAAATCGTAGATACGGCTGGACAGGAAACCTACACCTCCCTGCGGAGGCACATCTTGACTTCGCAGTGAGGTCAGTGCTGCCGAGTGCGCCCAGGAGCTGGCTCCAGAACGGCAAGGGGCGCGCCGCCCGGTCTGGAGAAGCTGTTGGGCAGAGCCAAGGGGGGGAAAAGCGCTTCGAAATCGCAGGTTCCTCTTCGTCTTCTCCCTGGCGGATCGGCAAACGCTGGAAGGGCGCGGGCCCGAGACGCCGGATCCGCCTTTGTGCCGGCCGAGGGCTCTTTGCGACGCCTCCGCCATGCCGAGTCGCCGAGGCTTGCAGCCTTCCGCGAGGAGATCCGAAGCGTGTACCCCCAGGAGGCGCCTCCGAGCGCCCCCGCCTCAAAAGACAGGAGACAGGGGGCATCTACATCTTCTCATCTTGTTCTTGGAATGGTTTGGGGGTGCCCAGGTGATCGCCGCCAACATGGCGGACCTGCAGAGGCCCTGGCTCGCTTCAGTGACGAATGCGGGCGCCTTGGCCCAGCCCGGCGCAACGGCCGTGAGAGAAAGCCAGGTGGGACGTGACGGAGGAAGACCTGACGAAACTGCAAGCTGACTGGCCCAACTGTGTACAGGTGGGAAGTGCTCAACCCAGCGCTGCTTTCTCTTTGAGTCTCTGCAGGTGCTCCAGACTTCGGCAAAGACCGGCCAGAACGTCCATGTCGCCTTCGAACAACTCTCATTGGCTGTCCAGGAAGCTCTTTACCCGAACCTTCAGCTGGAATGGCTTGAGATCGCGAGGAGCGGGAGCACCGGCTACGGAGGGCTCAAAGAGAGGCGCGTCGAGCAGCGCATGCTGCTTCTCATCTTTTCTGTGAGAGAGCATCCACAGAGTCGCCTGACCTCGCGGCCTCTTTGCTGGTGAAGGCCGCGCTGCAGCTTTCCTCGAATCAGGAGTCGACGCAGAACTGTCCTCGCCTCAGCTCAGAGGTTAGTTCGGCCCCTCCGTTCCGGCGCTGGATCTTCCAAGCGGCACTCGGTGGCTGAGGCGCACGGTGCCGGCTGGCGCAATGCTTCGCAAGCTGCACGGTGCAGTAGAGCCAAAAGGGCCACAGCTAAGCGGTCAAGCCTGTGTTCCGTGAAGCTGCGGCCGATTTTGACAGCCAGTCGCTCAAAGTCCTGATGGCTCAGATGGCAAGTGCATGAAACTTGGAGCAGTAGCATGATGTTGCCTCAGCTGGCGCTTTTAGCTCAGTTCGTGTCTTTGTACAAGTTACAAGTCTTTGTTGTTGCCTCTTTGATACGAGTACTCCATGTAATCTGCTCTGACGGCTTCGTCCTTGTGCAATGTCTGCTCCACAGGCCGCGTCGCGTGACTGCATTTGAATTGCTGAAGCTTGAAAAATCTCGCATGGCAGGCGCACAGTGCTCCAGCAGCGGAGCTACAAAGGCCGTGCAGGGCCTTCACCTCCTATGACCTGCTATCTAGTCCCAGTACGTTGCTGACGTCGGGGTCCATGCAACTTCGAAAGACCCGCTCGGGCAGCCAGGTCGAGTGGCGGTTGTTTGCCACAAGTAGCTGGGGAGCGGATGGCATTAGTCACATAGGTTTGCTGTCAATATTGCCGGTCCCCTTAACATTGCAGGAAAAGGTGCATGCCAAAATTTGCTCGAACCTGTGGTCTTTGCAGTCTTTGCGGTCTTTGCTTCAAGAAGTTCTTTCCGGGAAGAGGCCAAGACAAGTCATGCTGGTGGCCATTGCAGCCATCACTAGCACCACCAGCAGCTAAGCACAAAGGAAAGCAGCATCACATCTCAGTGTCAACGACGGTGACTTCGTACAAGCACCCTGACTGCCGGCGGCACCACTTCCCAGACAACCTCGACAAGACTCGCATCGTCGACCAGCTTAACATATGCAACTTCAGTTGCCAGCACTACGTCCACAAGCAGCAACCGTGCCTTTTGCTCTGCGGTTGTCAAGATCAGTGACCTCAGTGTTGAAAGCGGGGTGCAGCGACGATTGAAGAACGTGACCGGTGAGAAGTCGAGTTGGAAGCTGGCAGCTGGCGGCAGCTGGCAGTGCTTCCGTCTTTGAGATGGCGTACTGTGGCAAGAACTTCCCCGGATGTGCACGCATTTTTAATGTGGCTTGGGTTATCTATAGAGCAGGTTAGGAACGCATGCTGGAATCTTGTCGGTAATGACAGTCCCGGGCTCGCATGGAGCTTTTATCAAGAGCTGAGGTGATGTGTGTGTGTGTTAAATATGTGCTCAGTGTTTTTGTTTGGAAGATTGGCACCATGAGGGCGAAATGAATTTGTGAAGCTACCTTCTTCGGTGGGCGCTTTGTTTTTAGGCAAATGGCCACGGCTGCAGCCCAACAAGGCCGCGGGAATGGGAGCGGTGTCGGCAGCTGAAGAAGGACCCAACACTCCGACACCCGAGGCGCACGTGCAGCGGCGGACCGAGCACGGACAGGATTCTTCGAAGTCCAGGCTGGGTCAGCTCAGGATCTGTGAATAATGAACCTGAAGCTTTGCAGGCCTATATCTCGGAAAACCCGACCAGCCTGAAGGTGGGAGGGCCGTGCGAACCGAAGCTGTTGAGAAGAGTGAAGAAGGAAGGGTTGGTTCATGACATGCTCGTATTGCAGATCCTCTGCTTCTGCTCGGGCTTGGCGCTGATCGCTTTCAGCCTCCTGGCTGGGGGCCCGGTGTAGATGGGGGAAGGGCCAAGTTTCTGTTCGAAAGGTGCAGGTGGCAACAGCACCGCAGATCCTTGTGCTGCAAAGCCTTCTCAGTTTGTGCACGACGTCCCTCTCTCTCTCTCTCTGTGTTTGTCTGTCTCTCTCTCTCTCTGTAGTTTATTCTTCCAGCTATTTCTGCTGGGCGCAGGGTCTTTTCAATCCCTTTGACATCAACATCATCCCAAAGGCACACCTTTCTTGTCATGAGTTCCACGCTACGGGTATCGCTGGCGTCTTACTTCCATCGCTTGTGAAGAGTGAGCAGAGCCGAGATGCTTGTTGGGGGGTCGCCTTTTGGTTCAGGACCAGTTGTGCAATCTGTACAATGTCTTCTTCGGGGTGATTATCTGTGTCTGCGACGGCAAGGCCCTTGGGTTTTGGGTCTCCTTGCAGTTGCCGAGTCCATCGCTGCAGGAGTCCTGGCTGAGAGCTTGTGGCGATCTACAAGTCAGGGACCCAGGGACCCAAAAGTCCCGCGGCGCGGGAGCCCTCGCCTCGGCTCTGATCTCCTGGCATCCGGCGCCGTTTTTCCTGAGGGCGCCCTCTTCCGCAAGGCTTACTTCTTGGCCAGCCAGGCGTGTTTTCGCAGGGAGGCCCAGCAGACCGCGTGTGAGCAAAGCTGGAGTGTTGCCGGAGACTGGGCGGTCCTTCTTCTACTTGTACGTGGGCACCATGACGCTCCTGGCCCGGGACTGGGCTCGCTTAGAGCGTGTGCTCCCGCCAGCGCCAGCCAGCGCCAGCCCGCTCCCCCTCCCCTGCTGCCCCTGCTCTCACCGAGTTACTTCCGGGCGGCATCCTGGACTTCTTCAACCGGATCATCGGGCCCGAACCCCACCAAGCGGGCCCCACTTGGTTGCGAGATAACATGCCGGCCTGGCCCAGGATCGCCCTCTGCGTCCTGGCCATGTTGATGCTGGCCAGGGACTGGTGCGCCCCTCTCTGTTGCAAGGCGGGAGGCCCCAAACAGCCTTGATCCATCTTGTGATGAGCCCCCCCGACCGAGTGCAGGACAGCTACAACCAGATGGGCTCGGGCTCCGGCTCCCAAGTGTAAACCGGTGCAGCTCCGAACAGAGCCTGGCAGAAGACAGGGGGACGATGCACAAAGCGGCACAACCCGGATGCCAGCAAAATGTGAGCATGTCTTTGCACGTCGAAGAAGCTGCCAGCCCCTGTGAAGCTTTTCTTTTTCGTGGATTGCCGAGCCTTGTGCATGGCCTGCAATGGTCTTGTCGGGTCGCTGTTCATGCCGCATCTTCAGACATCTCCAACATTCAGATTCATTTAAGTTGCTCTGCTCGTTGTCCGCTTCTTATTTGTGGTTTGTTTAGGGATTGTGTTTTATGATTATGTTGTGCAGGATATGTTTAGATATTATTATGTTTATGGTTGGTGATGTTTAGGCTTATGACTACGGTTGGTCTAGGGTCCGTTGGGGTTTGTTTAAGGTTTCTGATGTTTGGGATGTGTACCGTTTCTCTAGGCTGGTCCATCTCTGGTAAGGGTGACAATGCTGATCTTAAGACAAGTGACGATGATTATGTGAATAATGTTGAGCATGATGGGACGATCCTAGTGATGGTGGTGATGGTGATGATGCTGATGATGGTGATGATGATGGTGGTGATGATGATGATGACGACAGCGGCGGCGGCGGCGGTGGTGCTGGTGGTGGTAGAGGTGGTGGTGATGCGTGATGCGTGATGCTGAGGCTGATGCTGCTGCTGCTGCGGATGATGGTGATGATGATGATGGTGATGATGATGATGATGTTGATGTGGGGGGTGGCAATGCTAATGAAAATGATGATTTTTGTTGTGCAGGTCAAACATTCTAAGGTCAAGGGTGAAGGAGGAAGCACTAAAGACAGACATTTCTGGAGTACCCACTGGTATATTCCTATAGTTGCCTACATATTTTTGCCACGGCGTTGATACTTAGTTGTGTGCGGTTGCTATTTTTGCTTTCCGTTGTTTGCCAGACTGGTTTGCAGACAATGATTTCAGGAACCGAGGATTTGGCTTGGTTTCGCAATATATTTCCCTCGTTCTTTGATTTTTTCTTTTAGATGTTTGTGGCTCTTGGCCAACTTGACTTGTTTGGAATTCCGGTTTGCAATGTTTCTTGGGTTTCCCTCTCTTGATGGTTACAGGTCTTGGTTGCATCTCGTGTGGTTTCGGAGAAGTATCCCACGGGCAAATCAGAGGCGCCGCAAGTGGGCTTTGACCTGCCGCATGTGGCTTGTTGAGTTCAGGTCTCTTTGTTTGTTTTGATCAAGTGGTGCAGTTTTTTCTGAGATCGTGGGAGATGTTGCAAACTGCTACTGCTACTGCTACTAGTACTGCTGCTGCTGCTGCTACTGCTACTGCTACTGCTGCTGCTGCTACTACTACTGCTACTGCTACTGCTACTGTGTCTGTCTTGTCGCTTTCGAGATGTGCGAGCACATTTGCAGCTGGCATGTGCAGCGGAACAGAATCACTTGAGAACAATCAGCGATCGCATCCCGTTTTTGCTTGTGACCACAGTGGTTCAAGCCGAATCGGAAGCAAACCCATGGCCAAGCGTGGACTTCGAAAACTGATTACAGCATGTAACAATGCCCACTAAGCCTTAACCAAGCAAAGACGTGAGAGGTTCATGCCAGCCATTAGCTCGGATTGGATGACATGGGTTGTAGGGCTTATGAAACGAGAGTACGTTGCATACCCACGGATCTCGTAATTCGGGGACTGTGGAACTTCGTGTGGCAGCTGCCTGCAGTTCGAAACGCCAACTGCAGCCACGCCATGTGGCAAGCCTTCTGGCGCAAGGAGGCAGGCTTCAAATTCCCTGCCAGCAAGTATCCCAAAGCAACAGGTCCTCATTGTCTCATGGTTTGCAGCTCTGCCCGAAGGCTCTGACAAAATCCAATGACAGCATGGACCTGGCCGTGATGGAGCGTTTCACACAGGCCGTGCTGACCTTGGACCTTCGGGAGATCCGCTTGTCATGCAGAGAGATGTCGAAAACATTCGGCCTCAAATGAGGCATCGCAAGCCGTGAAAGAGGAGCTGCTTCAGGAGTCTGACGGCTGTAGTTGTTGTAGCAGATGTTGAGAGCCGGTTCAAGAGTGAGGGGTGGTGACTGACAGGAATGGCAACGCTTTCGTGCAGACCTCTTGCGGGATCTCACGCACCTCATCCGTGCTGAGGCTGCTAAGACTTGCATCTTGCGACGTGCCCGGCGTTTTTGTTACAAACTCAGGGCTGGCACTCAGGGGTGTAGGGTTGATAGGGAGAGGGAGAACACCCAGAGCACAAATTGTCGTGCTGCTTCGGCTCTGATTGGAGTCAAGCAAAAGTGCTGAGTGGCTTCACGGGTCCAGTCACTCTCCTGTTCACTTTGGAGGTGTCGTCGCGGAGTCCTGCTGAAAAGGACGCACGAAATCTCACCAAAGATCACCTTTCGCTCTTCCCTCTGCCAGATGTTTGGCAGGATGTCCCAGGCACTTTGCCGCGGCGCAGCAAAACACAGGAGCAGTGCCAAGGTTTGGTGAAAGGCTCCCTGCTTGCACCTGCCGTCCCTGCAGGAGGTGGAAACTCCCGAGAAGTTGGTGGGGGCCTTGTGCGGTTTTTTGTTCGGTTGCATTCGGTCTTATGGTATTGATGCCGAACCTGTTGCAAGCCTGGCATCAGATTTCTTCGGCAGCTCCCGAAAGCGCATGGCATGCTGTCTGGCAATACAGAGGCCGCAAGCGTGAAGGGCGAAAACATGGACACTGTCAACCCGGCCTTTGTCTCAGAGTGGCTTCAGGGTTTGAGCAGGAAGAAGGTGCCAGCTTGGCAGGTGCTCGTGATGGAGGTGACCTGTGCACCAACAAGTTGCGAGCCAATGCTTTGGGAATGATTTGGGGATCTCCGAGAATGGCAATTATTCTGCCGCTCTGCCCTTCCATAGTCGCTGGCCGGCATTGCGTTTTCCCGGGACAAAGCAAGCTTGGCAGGACTTCCCCTGCACGCCTCGCCGGCACCACAAACCGCAGGAGTGCTTGCAAAGTCTGTTGATAGCTCTTTATATAAGTCTTTGGGTCCCCATGTCACGACACAGGACGACGCTGAAACTCCAGAGAAGTTGGCCAGAGCCTCTGCTACCGATCTGTTCGACGGAGTTACGCCAATTCACTGCAATGATAGATGGCGGTCGCACATGTTGCTGTTTCGATGAGGTCAAGCCTTCAAGCTGCGGAAGCGTGGCATCCTCAGCCGGCACAGTGCCCCTTGCCGTCAGAGTTCAGATCTCCAGAAAATGCTGGCAAGGCCGAGGCCGCCTTCGTGAAGGATAAGGAGGAAAGCCAGGATGCTTCCAACTCTGCATTTGCCTCGGAGATGCTTGTGTCGCGAGCGTCGGAAAGACCATCCCCCTAGGAAACTCAAGTCGAAGCAGCTGTCAATCCTTCGTCAAGCCGGGCACTGAAATCTCATCGTAATCTACATTGAATGAAGCATAGCGCAACGTGATGCAGGTTTGCTGGAAAGGCAGCAGCGACGCAGGCGCCAGGCGAGGATATGTAGCAGTTACATGCTTCTGCTACGGTTGTAGCATCGCCAGGCCAAGATTCACACCTACCGCATGGACTTGGATGACGAGGTGTCCTTTGTGAGTTTAGTGTTGTTTAAGTACCGGAGACAGAAGTCGAGCTGGACTAAAATCAGATAGACAGTATCTACTTGTGAATGAAAGACATCGAAGAAGTGTTTGATACATTCGTTTGCTTTTAGTAGGAGAACAGAATTGGCCCGATATTGCCACTTGGATTGGCACGTCTTGACAACCTGTTATAAGTTATATTTACGGTATTGGCTTTGCAGAAGAAAAAGTGTTTGAATTTAAGAGCCTCCGGCTCAAGCCACCGATCCCGCAGGAGTCAGAGGAAAGACGTTAGGGTCTGGCGTCGTTGTCGTATGTAGCAATGTAGCAGCCTGCGGAAGTAGTAGTCGTAGTCGTAGTAGTAGTAGTAGTAGCAGCAGTAGTAGCAGCAGCAGTAGCAGTAGTAGCAGTAGTAGCAGTAGTAGTAGTAGTAGTAGTAGTAGTAGTCGAAAAAGTAGTCGTAGTCGTAGTCGTAGTCGTAGTGGTAGTCGTAGTCGTAGTCGTAGTCGTAGTCGTAGTCGTAGTCGCAGTAGTAGTAGCAGAGTAGTCGTAGTTGTTGTACTAGTCGTAGTAGTAATAGTCTGTAGTCTTCATGTCGTAGCATGAAGTAGTCGTCGTCGTGGTCGTAGTAGGAGGGCGGGGAACTAGCCGGAGCAGTCAACCCATGCGCGGGATTTGGGGTGTGAAGGAGGGAAAAAGGGAGGTTCACTGCCAACCCATCCAGCACGCTGTCAGGGTCGGCGGATCTACCATGATGCCACATCACATGGTGTAGTAAAACTAGCTATCCTGAAGCCGGATGTTGGATCTTCTAGACAATACTAGCCCTATACACGACTGGCTTTAAGCGAAAACATAGCGAAAGACAGGCACTTCTAATTCAATCACGTTTGTGTTGACTGCCACAACCGTGCCTTTTCGGTGCACAGACGCACCACATCCAGTCAGGGCAGCTGTTGCTCAGCCCCCAACTTGATCATGTGCCCGGCATCTCAAATTATGTTGCTGATGCCTCAGTCGTGGCACTGATCTTTGGGGTTTTCCACTAAACAGCGCTTTGGCGTGGCTTTGTCATTGCTGTCTACTTGCGCCCGTCTCGGTCTATAGCCGTCCACTTTTTCGTTAGCAGGCTTTTTGGCATCTTGATGTGCTCTGCCCGTTGCTTTGAATGGTCTTTTGCCGCGGCTCCCTCGATTACTTTTGGGTCCGACCGCCACCAAACCAGGTCCCTGACCGGTTCCTGCATATATACAATACATTAAAAATTGCATGGATATGTATTCGCACAACTCTTGCCTTCTGAAGAGTCACCCAGGAGTCTTTGGACATCCACCATTCCGGCCAGAGGCAACCCGGCTTCCCTGCTTCAGCATGACCACACGAAATTGATCATGTTGTCAGGCTCCAAGGCTCGGCGATCGAAGA